TGCTCCCCTATATACAACCCTTTTCAAAGTATTGAAGGCTCTAATTTCTTTAAATGTCACATAATGTTGACAGATGGATTAAGCCGTGGTGTGCTAATGTTGATGGATTTTTAACCCTTTCAGTGACGTTTTAGTCATGTGTTAGTCAGTATTACTTAAGCTTCAAATGGATTGGGAGAATGTACTCCAATGTGTTACAATAGAATGAATTGTTTACAGAACGTTAAATCTTGCTCAGGCCTACGCTATACAACCTTTATTCCACTGACCAGTGAGATTGAGGTCGACATCAAGTCTTGGAATTAATAAGCGAAATATAATTATCGTCTACATGTGTAAAAACTGTATAACGAGCAAAAATGTGACTCTCTCTATGAAAATCTGTAAGTATGGCTTTAATGTCTTATGTAGGTACCATTACTTGTCTTTATTATTTATATATTAAATAAATAAATAAAATGTTCCAGTTTTTTAAGGGGGGAAAATAATCGAATGTCTGCTCCCGCCTGGGTGAGGCGGGAAGGAGTGTCAGACTCTTACTGACTAAAAACCACCCCGTTCCTTTTCCTGCACACACTAACCCGTTAGGTTCTTCGCGACTCCAAATCGGCATCAGCCTTAAAATCTTCCACTACCGCTAGACACATAGTTATAACCAACGCCAACGTAGAAAAGAGAAAAATACAAAATTATTCAAATGCACCATAATTCTTTATTTAACATGTAGTCTATTACGATACCAGGAATGGGTTAATTAAAAATCCGTTCACTACCACCAGTAAATGTAACAGAGAAAATATTTATTAAGTTTTACCATTAACTGCAGTATTTACTTTTTCTTTCACATAGGTAAATATTATAATCACATTTATCTGTAACACAAGGTATCTCGTAGAAGTTTTTATTGTAAGTTTTTTTTTAATTTCAAATACAAGTAGGTTAGTTAATAGGTGTATGGTTGTTTTGATGTTTCTTTTAATATCAGTAATCTGGTTGGACAAAACCAGCACTTTTTGATTATATGACAAAATTTTCAACTGTCACTGTGTTTCATCACAGATGTTTTCATCTAGATGACAACTTAAACTTTTAATGAAACACATAGGCAATTGGGCAATTAAAACACGGCACCGCGCACAGCCATGGTAGGCGGTGAAACGGATCTCATGTCGCGTTGATCTCTATGAGATCCATAGATGCCAAAACACATACACCGCTATACCGCGCGGTCGAGTCCGCAGTCCGCGCGGTGGAGCGGCGCCTCACACACGGGGCACCGCAGCTGCGCGGACTATCGTGGATGCAGGACGTGTTACAATGGTGTTAAACCCATCCCCGCAGACAGGTGCGTAATTCGCCTTACCGCGCGGCGTACCGTTACGATAGCCGTCGCCGCCGACCGCGGCGGTACGCGGTGCCGTGTGTAAACCGCCTTAATTTTAAAAAAAGGTGAGGCTGCAGTCATTTCTGCTACACCTAGAAAACGTGTCTTAAAATATTTTGGTATTACAATAGGCAGCTTTTATTGTTATGTTTTAAAAAGTAAAAATAAAACGCGGTGTTAATCATAAACAAACGAATGACGAGCGGGTTGGTGGCGGTATGCGGGTTCGCAAACAAAGAACTAATAACTCACATCTTTTATGTTTGGACTATAATGGTGGCGAACGCGATTTTTGGCATTAAGTGAACATCATATGACATATGAAACGTGTGGTGATGTTAGTGTAGTTATTTTAACATGAAGTACTAAAGTACACTATTAGTATAGGTATATCGCAAACACACAGATATATAGTGTGGAGTAAATAAGTCAAAAGAATAATATTTTTTTTATGAAACTGTTAATTATAATTCGCGACAGCTCTTTTATAATATGCAATCAGCTCACGGCATATACACAACATTTTATCCAATTCATTATTAAAATATAAAAAGCAACGTACCGAAAACACGTTATTTACTTCCCAATATTTATAAATAAAAAAAACATGCTGGTTAACGTTTCTATGTAAAAACCTCAGCTTTATATAAATACAGGCGAAATTTTTAACGTAAGCCAGTAAATAAAAATGAAATAATAAATTCCGTTTCGTATTTACTCAAATCGATTGCATATCGCATCGAAAAGGAATATCAAAAATCAACAACTTCGATACACAGGCATAGAGGAATCGTGTTCCCGATTGAAAAGATATTTAATATTTAAACATGTCAAACATTGACTCTGTTCGGACTAAAACAGTTTTTTTATCCTACAACAGTCATAGTTTATAAAAAATTCCAATTTATAAAACGTTCGCAATGTAAATAAAAAAATGGTACTCTGTGTTGACAGTGGTTTACGCGAGGGATTCATATTTTATGTGTAAACTCAATGTGGATTAATATAAATAGTTATCAAATTGAGAAATATATTTCTATTTGCCAGTTATTTGCAAAGCAAAAACATATCAAACAGATTTATGAGCTTGATTTATTTGTTCGATGGAACCAACGACTAAGCTTGATTTAGTCATGCTTCACTTGTGGTGAAGTTATACGTAAGTGGAAAGTTACCAAGAATCCATTATAAAAATGTTAATGAACAACAAATGTTATCCTAAATATCTTGTCGCGAACCTAACGGGTTACCGGGGCTCCGACTCGAAGTGCAGAAGAAGGAACGGGGTGGTTTTTAGTCAGTAAGAGTCTGACGCTCCCTCCCGCCTCACCCAGGCAGGAGCAATCATTCGATGGTTTTCCTCCCTAAAAAAAGATTCCATATATCTTTAGCACAATTTACAAAGCTTTAAATCGTCTTTCGGCATATCCAAATGCCTTTTTTTGGTGAGGGAAAATCGTCCAATGACTTCTTCCACCTTGAATGACACGAGAGGTAGTGTCAGACTCTTACTGACCGAAAACACCCTGTTCCTACTCCTGCTTTTCAAGCCGGGGACCCGGCAACCCGTTAAGTCTTCGGCTTCGTATCGGGCATCAACCCTACTGAGTCCCATCTGTGATGGTCTGATAGTACTTTGAGTTTTAATGACAAGAACTCTTTAGCCTATGCATTGTTTTGAAAAATAATTGGTCACAAACCAGGTGAACGCATACTACAAAAATGAAAGACTTTAATTCGCCCCCAAAACTCTTAACCAACAAGAAAAGATGCAAGATAAAAGACCTACACACGATAATTCAAAAGTTATTCACGTTCACAAACGAAGCCAAAATAGGGTGTGAGCACATAAACCCGAAATTCCCTAACATTATAAATTACAAGTTCATTAAGGGGCTATTGATATCTTATCTCGGTCCTCGCATCTCATATGGCTAATGAATTTTAATCTCAACATAATCGTGTAGCCGATCCATCAAATAGCTCTGGCCGGTCTAACGGACCCAACAAAGGGTTTTAATTCAGTTATCTTTCGCTTTGTTAAAGTTCTTTCTTCTATCTTTTCCTTTCACATAGCTTTACTTTATAAATACGTCGAATTTTAAGGCTATATTTTGGTTTAATGTATTGATTTCGTAATTTATTTATACTCATTCGCGGATTTTTCATCGTTTCATGAACATGGTATGTACCGAACGAAAGACTGAGCTAAGAAAATATATTCAACATTGACCTGGGTCTGAAAATTGTTATTGTATTGATTATGATTACACAACCGTCAGACCAGATTCGGACGAAAAAATCTCAAGGAGGTCGTAGTGGGCAGTTCCTACCGATTGAAGTTATGTCATGAGCAAAATAATCATTTTATAATTATGAATTATATTAAGGTACAAATTAAGTTTGAACGAAAATGTACATAACATTAAAGATTACATTCCTTCCTAAGTAAACTAAAGCGACAAACAAATTACACCTGATATTACAAAAGCAATATGGAGCTGACATCTGCACAACAAACAATGTTTTAATAAACAGCAGTAATTAAATTTGACTTATCAAACAGGTATCATTTAATTCCCTATTTCGAAGGAGTAAACAAAGTGTACACCGGCCGGTCGATACTACCGGCCCACTCGACATTCCATGGAATATTTCGCAAAGGAAATGACAAAATCTCTTCCATTGTATACTAGCTATTAATATAATACTTGGCTAAATAAACGCGAATACTTTTAAGCGCCCTTTAAGTCAAGTTTAAATTAAGCTTGCCTATGTCTGAAATTCGGCAGCATTTATAAAAGCAGGCAAAGAAGACGCGAGCGGCCGCCCGAAGGCACCCTACTGAGTAGATTTAATTAACAAGATATGGGTCTCTTTTAAACCAACTCTACGTACTTTTTGGAACATTGGAGATTAAAATTCAATGAGCCGACAAGATATTAAATAAAATCCGAGACTATAGTTTTACGTACGTAAGGAGAGTTAATTAATTTTTAAAATTAATCAAGTCGCCTTTGGTGCCAATAAATTCTTTTGTACGCGTAATACTGATCGGGAATGCGAGATCCCATTTTTAAACTTCGTAATTCGATTAAATTTCTGATGTAAAATTGTTTTCATTATCAATTTTGTTTGGGACATTGTTTCCGCTCGTGAATCTCGTAAATTATGAACTGTATGTTCTCTGCAAGCCCTCAGGCCAAGCTGTAGCTGTGTTAAAACGAATTGAAAACCGGTAATCGAATACGCGCAATGGGAGCTATGTCAATATTTTAAATTTAAATATCAAATGGAAGTAGGTACCGGACGGTTTAATATTTATTTTATTCGCCATGTAACATCCATCTCTGTTCGGATTTTAAATAACAAACTTGTTTAAATGAAACTATGTTTATTTGTGCTGATCGTTATTTATAGAAAGAAAGAAAGAAAGAAAGAAAAACCATTTATTTTTGCGCAAAACACACATAACATAACCAAAAATAAAATTAAATAAAATAAAAGCTAAAAATATAAAATGAAGTGAAGTCTTGTCCATGGTCCACAGACTTATTCTTTACTGAAATTATAGAATACTTAATATCTAACATTATCTGTGGACCATAGACAAGAAACACCCTACTTAAGTACTTACTTCATGCATGAGTATATTATTATATAAAAGTTTAATTATATAAAACAAAACGCATCAATTATAGGTACTTGATGCTATCCTTGCCCCAATATTGTGCGTCATGTATGCGTGCGCAAAAACAGGATATGCTCAGCAATTTCTACGACTTAAACCTCGAGAGGTTAGCGTCGCAGCGCTGATTTTCAGCACATCCCTGGGTGACGTAATGGCGTCCCGCCAGCTTCACTATTCGCCAGCGATCATGAATGCAATGCAACGAATGACGTGAGTGCAGACCATGATTCACTTAACTTGTATATGTACTGACGTGAATTGTTACTATAAAGCAGTAGTGTACCGTGTGTGAGTGTAATATGAAGTGTGTGTCCTGTATTTACAGCAAGTAGCCGGCATAACCTGTAAAATACAGATATACCTATATTGAACATAAATGATGGGGGAGGCTGCAGCCACGAACGAACCTGTTGGATACCTGTGCCTCACCATGTTGGAAGGCCGCGACCCTTGAGGTGAGTAGTGAATTGTGTGTGTTATGTATGTAAGTAGTGTGTGTAATTTATGTACATTTTTGTGTGTTTAACAGAAAATTCTTCAACTGTTTTAGGAAGTGTTTTTTGGTTTTCAGGTCTCGCATTGGTGGTGGCAGGTTGTTCCAACAGTGAGTCGCAGCATATTTGAAGCTCCCCCTGAAGGCCGCCGTTCTGTGCTGAGGGATGGATAGTGGATGGATGGATACCGCAGATATACCTCGTTACGTACCCAATATACCTTCATTTTAACAGCTTTTGCGTGTACGATTGATACGGAGGATTTGTTGTCATCAATGGAGTTATTAATTCTGGGGCGGAGCTCGTGCAAAGTTATTTTTTATTTAAATTTTGTAAACACGGTAGTATGAACGATGAATAAAAATAAGGGGGATGTGACACGAGATAAAGGAGGTCACAACTTTGTTGTTACTTTAGGACCAAAAACATGTTTCGCGTCATCTGACGACGTAGTTCGACGGGAAAATTAAAAAAAAGCAGAACGCCAGCTGGCTACCTTAATTAGAATTTTTCGAATTATATAACATTTTTTGGAGCGTGTTCCTTGCTGGAATAACATAAAATTGTTAATAACTGCACTAAAGCGCGCGTTGCCAGAGGTCGGTACAATGTTCAAGATTTTTACGTGCCTCCTTCGGAGAGCTCTGCAATAAAATATTGTCTTTATGTGTCTGATTGGGGGAAGTCTGAGGCATTGCTTGTAAATGTCTTCGTGTAATTATTCCTTCAGTAGCTGAACAACTTGTTTCGTGCGATTGAACGGTAGTGAGAAAACATAGACATTTTAGCTACGATTTCTTTGTAACGTTGGACAAAGTAATTTTTACTACTTTCTACAAGAACTGGACTGGATTTGTTAGATTAAGGCACTAATTAGAGTTGAGTTTTTGTTCAGTTAAGTTAAAATGTAATATTTCCTGTCTTATTTTTCGACTTATTGATTTCTAAATCCTCGTAAGTTGTTCTAGAATATAATTGTGGCTTCTGTAAATGTTACTGTACATAAGTTTTGTTATTGTATATCTATTAGTTTATTGATGTTTTAATTTTTTTGGTATTTGTTATTTTTTAGTTTTGTATTGTATTTTTATTTGTGTATTATATTTTATTTGGGCCACAATTGCCTGAAATAAATAAATAAATAAAAATAAAAAAGTATCCTGATATAAGTACCTATTCTTATATAACATTATTGAAAAACAAAAAAAAAACAATAAGATGTCGCTACAAGTCTATTAAACTTCGCAAATACAAGTGAATGATCTAATTAAAACTAAATTGTAGGTATATTGTGCTATCACAGAAAAATCTGTAGGTACCTATGTACCTACAGATTTTTTAATAAAGACAATGACGACGGTAAATTACTGCGTGGCTCGACTGCTGTATTTACCTGAAACAATATAATCAAATTGTTAATTATTTTTCAAATGACACAATAGAAATAATTACATAAATTCCAGTAATGTGGATAGATAACTCGGGTGATGTATTAGATTTATCCTATGATTGTTTCAGACTTCCTTTTGACACAAAATACCATTCTTTGAATGTCATATAAGAACTTTGAAATCAATATTCTCTATAAATTCGAGTCCAGCAGAGACGTTTGACCATAAAATCGTAATTAAAGACCAAAATGTAAGATTAAGTACCTACAAGTTGGATTGAAAGTAGTTAATGAAAATATATTTTAATGTATTTTTCATGGTATAGGCCCGTAAACGAGCAGACGGATCACCTGATAGTAGGTAATCGGCGCCGCCTATGGACTCCTGAAACACCAGGGGCGTTACAAGTGCGTTACCGGCCTTTTGGGAATTGGGTATCTGAGGATTGTGGGGAATTCGGGGATTGGGGAGACTTGAGAGGGGGAATTATGCCTCCGGTAACCTTACTCACACAACAAAACACAACGCAAGCGTTGTTTCACGTCGGTTTTCTGTGAGGCCGTGGTATAGCTCCGGTCGAGCCGGCCCATTCGTGCCGAAGCATGACTGTCCCACACTTAAAAATGTAATAGAACATTTTTTTTTATTACGTAAAAAGAAGTAAATTACGCCTAGAACGATATTTACACATATGAGAAAAATTAGGTACCTACCCTATTCAACTCCACATATGAATAATTTTATTTTTCTAAAAATAGACAAAAAAGATTTCATTTAAATCCAAGCTAGTCAACAGGTGACTCTGGCAGTTAGCCAGAACAGCTTGGCATCTGGATTCTGGAATGAGCTGGCTTATCTAACAGGCTATTGAATATTATGGACTCTCTTGGTCGGTTTGCAGCATGTAGAGGTAAGTTTTTCTCGTAGTTAGGAAATACATGTAAATGGGCATTAAATGTACAGTAAGTTTAGTATTGAATCTTGTTCGATGAACATTATGGCTTTTATGTAGAGAATGGTTTAGCAATGGACTCTTATGAACTGTTGATGTGGCTTTTGTTCAGTGTCGGTTATTAGAAAAAGTTGTATCTGGAACTAGATAAAAAAAAGTATGACGTATGTAAATGAGGATAACATTAAAAGAGAAAAGTGTGTTCGTCTTCTGTGGTTCGAAACTAGTAGCATTTCTCAGTATATTCACGTGAGTAACCCGCGATTTTACTTAATTTAGAATGTCTCACGATAGTGTTTTGTTTTATTTATTTTTTTAACGTTGCCCCAGACTAGCATTTTCTCCTGTATCGTGGGTGCGTTTACAAAGATGCAAGTTCACATACACATGACACCCGGACCCGAAACAATAATCAGTGGAACATACAGAGTTGTTTCGTGTGGGAATCGAAACCGCCACACGTTCCGCGGCAGCCAGTTGCCCAGCCACCGCGCCAACCGTGCAGTCTAAATTTGATGCTTTTATTAAAATGTTTATTAACCTTTTTAGCTGTGATCCTTTTTGATACGTATGGGAAAGTTTAGAAACCGGTTAAACTATAGGGATTAAATTGGTGTTGAAGTATTAAATTGAATTATTGACTACAAAGTTAGCCATGTGACATCGTTAACTGCGTGCCTCGGTAAACCGACGCCATGGGATAAGTATCAAAGTTAAGGTAACTTAAGTTAAGGCACTGCACCGTATTGGTTCACGCATGTCATGCGATTTTTGGCAAACAAGTCTCATTTGTATATACGTTTAAGACACACATTCTTATATTTGACTAGCTAACCCGACAGACTTCGTACCGCTTTTACCTCACCTTTTATACCTTCCTTGGACTTCCACCAAACCTTGCCAAATAGGTTCAGCCGTTCACGAGTTTAAACGAGACTAACGAACAGAAATTCAATTTTATTTATATTGATTGATGGATAGATTTGAAGATGACAAAATGCAGTGCCCTTTTTTAATCCCGCTTTAAGTTTTTATAAGGCTAACAATGCGCTTGAGACGCCTCTGATGTTGATGGCTTACCATCAGGTGATTCAATTATCCTTTTGACCCCTATCCTATAAAAAAAATCCATAAATTCACAACAACCACAACCATATCTTCTGATTCTCTTCGTTGCGGGAACCAAGACAGTTATTCATGTCCCTGGGACGCGCCGGACTTCAGTGCTCCGGTGTTTTCATGGTTGTATCTACTGTAGATCCTGGCTTACAGGAGTTGCAGTGGTTTGGGAGGTTGTAGCGGGCTTGTCCCTTTTTTAACAACCACAACCAATCACCAATCGTTTACAAAAATGTAGCTAAACGAAAACAAAGTCGGCACAGAGTAACAGATTGGTAAAAAATGAATAAAAAAAATATTTCCTCGTTGAAATGTTAGCTAACACAGCACTGGATCAAAATCTAGATTACCATCGAACTAGTACTGAATCCATTTGCCCACTGGCAAATAAAGTGTTTGTCTGTGTATTGCAAACAATACGAGTGCCAGTTATATATTGTTGCAAGATTTTTGAAACAAGCTATTTTCGTTAGGGGTTATTTGATGACGTACGTACTCTTGTTTTTGGTTTTCATTGTGAATCTGCAGTTTAGTTTATATTATGGAAATATCCGCAGTTTTTAATTGGATTTGTGGTTTTTTTTTTAATACTTCATGAGCCGACGTTCGACCATTATCTCGCCTGGTGGTAAGCGATGATGCGGTCTACGATGGAGCACGTCGTCCCATGAGCAAGCTATTCACTCGGGCCTTGAAGACACCCATACCCTACAGGAAATACAGACTCTGTCAAAGAATTCAACTCCTTAGCAATACGCGCATTTTATGTAATTATTACAAATTGTTTGTAAATATTTGGAAATAAATATATAGACAGTATAGTTGCCGCACAAGGCTGGGCAACTGGCTGCTGCGCAACGTATAGCGGGTTCGAATTCCGCACGCAGCAACTCTTTATGTCCACATACATTATATCTACATAAAGAGTTGCTGCGTGCGATCCCAGACTTTTATTTCGGGCCTGCGTGTCGTGTATATGTTTGTAAACACACCAGAGAAAATCCTAGTTTAAAGTTGAAAAAACAAAGATCCAGCTGCTATTGTCATTGTCGCGGATATTTTACTACATAAGTAGGCGATTTATACATAAGCATGTAATTTAAACACGTTTTTATCAGTCGTATCAATAAAACAAAAACTGCGTTTAAAAAAACTGACTTCGAAATTCAAAACCTAAAAACCAGCAAACTGAAAAAAATAAATAGCAAAAAATAATAAATATTATAGTCATACGCACTCATAGGTTACCCACCCACTGATAGGTTAGAAGTCGGTGCCACGAGGTTTAAACAAAACTTATTCTTTAAACCCATAACAAACACCTTATATAGCTTTGTACAATTTTATGACAGATTTTAATTACGACCATTAACCTAAGTTATAAAGAAATAATACTTGACTAATGTTTTTAAATAATCTACTACACGGACATTAAAATAAATAATAGCCAAGGCTAAGTAAGGCTCCTCTTACGCATAAGCCTTACTTAACCTCAAACTTGGCACTTACAAAATACTCAAAATCTAACTAATGAAAGTTAAAACCATGTTTTGTTTTCACCTCCCATAATATTGACAAAGGGATCTCCCTCATGGGTAGCGGGTTTAAACCCCGCACGTACACAAAATTTCTATTTCGGCGTATGGGATTAAGTATCTATAGGTACCTGGGCACATTCTGCGGTGAAGTGTACTTAGTACAACAAATAAAATGTCTTCGGGAAGAAGAATTATTGGGATAAAGGGTGACATGTTAATCTTAGGGATTTGTGTTTGAAATAACTATCAGTTGCGAACAGTATTGTTTTATATGTGTATTCATCTGATGGTAAATATAGTTAGGGACGAATCAGGTAGGTAGCCACTATCTCCCCTATTTCGCTGGTGTGATTTGATGTTTTGTTGAGATTTTCGATTGTGAATTCTCGTTATTGTTTAGAATTCTAAGGTCAATCACATTCTGATTTTGTAACTAAGTTATCTTATTTTTTACCAGATTAATCCAGACAATAGAGCGAATCTATAAAAAATATTCACTATAAATAATTGAAGGAGGGTGTTTTAAACCACAAAGCA